AAGAAAATGGTTCTATTCCTGAAGCCGCAGTTTGTGGCCTCGCTGGTCCGGGAGATGTTGGGAATAGGTCGTCGTGGACAAGTTAAGGCTTGTACGTGCAAGGTCAACTGCCCTTGGCTGTTTGTCCAGTTTGTTTTTGGACAGGTTTGCAAGTCTAGGAGCCTCGCCGGTTGTAGTAGATGGTTCAAGGTATTTGATCACCAGATGATACTGACGTTGACCTCTGTCTCTGAGGGGGCGCAGTTGTCACATGTCTTCAGCGCAGTTGGCAGAGATACAGCGCAGGATAGCGAACGTGTCAAGGCGCTTGCGAAGGATGCAACAGCGGACACAGCGACGTGCCCGCGTCCTCCAACTTCAAACCCTGCTGGTGTACATCTATTCAGGACATCAGTCCGATGTGGCTGCCCGTTTCTGGGTTTCTGAGACAGGAACCTCCTTGTCCTTGGGCGAGGCTGCCGCTCATGTCGAGTGGTTGTACATCAGTGCCAGTGTTGACGAGAAGGTGGAGATGATGCTCCATCCCCGGTGCAGTCTTGGCCTGCGTCCTCTCATGGTGGCCTTGCGGTTCATCGTGGAGCTGCAGCTTCTCTCTTGGGTCCAGTTCCAGAACTACGAGTGTGGAGTCGCTCCATCACGAAAGATGTTGCTTGATCATGCTCAGTCTTGTGTGCCCAAGGATCTGCCTCCATCCCTCACTGCCCGAATTGCTCCGCCCTTTCAGAACTGCTCGCAGCCAGCGCAAGGCCTTGGCTGCTTTCAGAATGAAGCATCGGTGCAAACTTGGAAAATTGCGGTCGGAGGCTCCCATCCCACTAGCCGAGAAGCAGGACAAGGCAAGAGTCGGTCGGGCCGGAGACCGTGTGCGATGACTGGAGACTTTAAATAGCAGCAAGTGTTGGGCTCACTAAGCCCTTGCTGCGTTCTTGCCTCACTTCGCGGGTTTCATTTTGGGGTCAGGAAAACGGACGCCAAAAAGGTGTCCGCATTTTGTGGTCAGTGAGAGCGCGTAAGGACATTTCTATTTGTGGGGTGCATGGGTGGGCCAAAAAGGGACCCCAAAACGGGGGACGGAAAACGGACCTCAAAAGCGGGTACAGATTTGATGATTTTTTGGCTACTGCAGGCTCTGGCGTTCTACCAGTGGTGCAACTATTGGCAAGCGAACGCAGAGCGCGAGCCCTTGGTCATCAACATGGATGAGTCAAGCCTTGCTTTTCATTGGAGCGGCTTAGTTGGAACAGTTGCGGAGGCAGCAGTGAGTGTGGCGACAGACAAGGCCAAGCTCAGCAGCCGAAGGGCGCGGTGACGTACCTTTGTTGCATCACGCACGACAGCGCAGTGCAACCGTTGCTCCCGCAAGTGTTGCTGGGCAATTCTCGGTCCTTCCCCTTAGAGTTTGTGAAGCAGGCTGCAGAAGTTGAACCGGGCACTACTGTTTGGCGGGAAAAATCCGCTTGGAATTCACACAGGTTGACGCGGAAGTTCCTCCGGTTGCTGTGTGCCCGTTTGGGCGACTTGTTGAAGACGCGCAGCGTGGGCTTATTGCTCGATTTCGCTCCGTGCCATGTGCATGATTCGATTTTTGAATTGGCCCGAAGCGCGGGGCTGCGCTTGTTGTTTGTCCCCCCTGGCATGACGCCACTTCTGCAGCCTTGTGACACCCACTGCCTTGCAGCCTTCAAAAATAACGCCCAAGAGAATTGGAGGGTGAAGAAGAGTGAAGCTGGTGGGCATCCAACTCTGTTGATGTGGTTCCAAGCTGTGGCAGCTGCAATCCATGACCTTGTTCATAGAAATTGGGCTCGGGCCTTTGAGAGTGATGGAATTCTGCAGCAACAGCGGAACATGTCAAGTCATTTGTTGAAGCAGCTACACTGGAGTACCGCGCCCCAGGTCTCGCCAGTGTGGCCCAGCGAGGAGGTGGCAACTCTACTCTTTCCGCGCAACTGGTGTGGGAACCGTGCGAAACATATCAGTGGAAACCCTGACGTGTGGTACATTCGTACTTTGAATTAGTTTCACCTTGGACCGCCGAAAAGCTGCAAGTGTGCACAGGGGAGGCCATCTAGGGTGGCTCAGAAAAAGTGGGGGGGGAAGTGTACCCGGCTTTGGGGGACGTCAAATTGCCAGGAGATGCTGCAGGCCGACTTGCAGAAATTGAAGGAGGACAGAAAGAACTTGCGCAAAGCCATCCGCAACAACCAGAAGGAAGCCCGCAAGCAAGCCAAGCGCAAGCAAAGGTTGGTCAAGGCCGCGCTGACCGTTATGTTTGCGTTTTTGCAGCCGGTCTTAGCTGCAGGCCGCCAAGATGTTGTCGAAGGCAGACCTGGAGCTGTTGATTCGGGCCAAACAGGTGGGTTCCATCTTACCAATGAGTGTGGTCACTTCTTTGCAAGCCAGGACCAAGAGGCAACGACAGAGGAGAGAACTTTTGAGGTGAAAGTCTGCCAGCTTTTAACGCACGGTCTTTTTGTTCCTTTCCCTGCAGTCGGTGACGTCAGGAGGCTGCAGCCCCACGCGGGATGTCCGGTCAACCAGTCCAGCCCTTGTCCTGTCAAAGTGCGATTGTCTTTGGACACTTTTTGTGTTTGAGGTGGAGAGGCCTTCGGAGTGAGGGTGACGCAATGTGTCAGGATGAGCCGAGGCAGATCTTACAGCGCAGTGCAGGGCACACCCTGCAGCTGCTTCCGTCAGCCCGTAGTCTTGACAATCTGAAAACTTCGGACACAACGAGAGTGGAAACAGCGCTTCACTTGGCGTTTTCTTGAAAAATTTGCTCTAGAAACTTCCGATTCTAGACCGATGCAGCATGACAGAGAGCTAGCTAGAATGTCTGTGGACTTGAGGCGAATGCACTGGGGTTTAAGCAATTGTCACTAGCTACAGCCTGAGGTTCGATGCGTGGAGTGGTTGGCCTTGGAGCGGTCGTCAGCTCAGTATTGTTGACGGGCGCTAGGCGCGGTTGGTGCTTTTTTTGTGCCAAGCCGCAGCTTTTTCGACGGCAAGCAGGGTTATGTGACACGTGGGTTTATGTTGTTTGGACCGCAACCCGTTCGTCGTAACAGTCCAGGGCATCACTACATTGAACTTGTCCACTTTTGAATATGGTGTGCACGAGTTGCAACTGGACATAGCTTTGTAAGAAGTGGCTGGCCGGAAAAGTCGTAGCGCGTTGACAACATTGCATTTGCAAGGCCTTGTGCTACAAGATGGTTTGAGAGAAGCGGTTCGTATTGAGGTTCTACCGGAATAGCCCTTCCAATTGTTCCACAGGATTAGAGCGTTAAGCGTCTTGGTGGCCAAGTGCTTTTCGTGTCTATACTCTACCTTTACTCAGGCCTGGCTGGTGGTGATCATTTGGGTGTGGATCCTACTGAGTCTAATTCACCGTTTTTTCACTTTGCTCAAGCTTTGCAGATGGTCATGTGGATCCAGCACTCTACGCAAACTCTGCAGATTCCTTTCTCTTGGCTGACCTTGCAAACAGTGTGTTACAGACATGTGCAGTTTTTGCGAAGTGTGTTGTCGTCCTGTGACGTGGATGTAGCCGATTCGAAACAGTCATTGTACATCCATCAGTCCGACGCCGCTGCGTGAAATCTACAACTCGGAATCATCCGTACGTCGGAACCGGTCATTTAGAAGTAAGTGGCTTGGAACCCGTAGCTCGGAACCCGCAACTGGGCAACTTGGAATCCGCAGCCCCGAACCCTTCACTCAGAAACCGTAATTGGGAATCCGTACTTACTATTATCTCAGGTCTGGCAGGCTTAGGGTGGACAGTGGTCATTCCCCAGAGTGATTAGAACCTGATACCATTTTGGCTCAAGTGTACTTAGACTACGTCATGTGCTTCTCGGGGCAGCAACGCTTTGGACAAAGCGCGTGGTAGAATCCTCCAAAGGGAACGGGACTTGGAGCCCTTCTAGAGGCGCGCGACGTGCGGCCTGGTGGAGGCGCACGACCTGCCTGTATAGTATTATAAACCCCAAAGTGTCGATGATTGGGCTGGCCCATTTTTACAATGTTTTTGTTGGGCGTTTCCTCTTGGCCAGTGTTGGGCTAGCCCATGTTTACCAGTGTTTTGGCTGGGCTTGGGTTGGGCTATTGTTGGGCTGGCCAATTTTTTACCAGTGTTTTGGCTAGAGTCGGGTTGGACTGGCGTTGGGCCCGTTTTTAGCAGTGTTTTGCCTGGACTTGGGTCCGGCTAGCGTTGGGCTAGCTCATTTTTGGCAATGGGCTTGGGTTGGGCCAGCTCATTTTTAGTAATGTTTTGGTTGGGCTTCCATATCTTCCAGTCGCCGGCAACCCTGCGAGGGCGTCTATATCGGAGGTTGAAGCAAACCGAAAAACAATTTGAATTCAATGCCTTTTTGGGTGGCTAGTGTTGTGCCAGCCCATTTTTGCCAGGGGTCGCGTTAGGAGCAGCTTATAGCTGAGCTGCCACCTCATCTTTTGTGTGGGCAGGGTTGTGGATGGACGCAGCCCTCTGGTAGAGACAGTGTCGCTCCACGGTTGCGGACGGTTGCGGACGCTTGCGGACGCTTGCGGACGGTTGCGAACGCTGAGACCACGGGTCCTCTACCCCCAGACCCCCAGAGTCAAACGAGAAGCCTTCGCGACGCATTCGGGAAAAACAAACAACAACACAATGCTCCCAGTATGTTTGGTGCGCGCAACACTGTCAGTGGAATGATGCCCATGCGCCTTTCTGGCTGTCTTCTCTGACGAGCTTGTGGCTCATAAAACACCGAGTGTGAGAGAGTTGTAGTAGCAAGTGAGCAGGCTGTCGTCATGGCGGCGAAAGCGAAAGCCGTGGCCAAAGCAAAAGCAAAGCCGACTGAGTTAAATGTTGCCTCTGCCTTTGTGGGTTTTGATGACAAACCGCGGACCCCACTTTGGTGTCAAGAAAATGGTTCTATTCCTGAAGCCGCAGTTTGTGGCCTCGCTGGT